TCACTTCGTGAATCCGGCCAGCGACGCCGTCTACGTGGGGCCGAGTCGAGAGCGCACCGCTAATGGCCGGCGCAGTAGCGCTGGCCAGCACAGGGTACATAGCTGCGATCGACGAAAAGGCCGGGCGGGGCCACGTCGGCTCGGCCCGGGCGTCCAGGGTCCCCACAGCGTGAGCCGGCATGCCCACGGAGACAGCGCGAGAGCAGAGTACGCGAGGCGCAAGGCGAGTCATCCTTGGAGCGGGGGCTGGAGCGCAGCCCAGTGCGGCCGCCGGGGACAGGCTGTAGTCCGGCGAACGGTACCCCTGAGGAGCTAGACGACTGGCTCGTCCCGCGTGTATCAAAGCTTACCGCTCCGGTCTACTATGATTACCGAAACGTCCGCCAAAAATCTCTGGGGGCTACGCAGCGAACGTAAGACGAACATACGAGGGCGTCCCGCAACTGGTCGAGTAACGTCCCGGCGGATCGTGCCGGAGTCGGCTAAAAGACACCCCCAATTCGTGCGATAAGGGGCGAGACTAAGATCATATGAAAGACGAGTCGGCCGCCGAACAAGGCCTTACGTACTGCAGTATGGTACACACGGGGCTGTGAGAACGCCATGGCGGAAACTGAGTCACGGAGCATGATAGTGCGTATGGTCAACTAAGCAGCCGGTAATATTGTCTCCAGCGCCGCGGTCGCGACTATGTGAGTCAAACTACGAATGGACCGTAGCATCGGTAGATAACGCCTGGACCAGCCGGCAATGTGGCGTAAAGCTCGAACGCACGAGGTCGAACGACACATAACAGGCTACGGGATGAGTCCCGTGTGGCGCAGCGCCGACGCCACTGAGTGAAGTCTCCAGCCGTCAACAAACAGCCCCAGACAAGTCAGACCAGCGGACTACGTGCGCGGCGTGAGTGCGAACCCGAGATACATGGCTACTATACGCGGGTGCCACTGCAATATACGTGCGTATAAGTATTTTAAGCATATAGCGTGACAGCGAAAAGAGAAAGGGCGAAGGGAGCGGAGAGAGGCAAGGAGAGGCGAGCACGAGAAAAGCGAGAGCGCGGGCGCCACGGAAAGAAACAGGAGGCAGAGGAGGAAAAGAGGAGAAAGAAAAGAGGGCCAAAGGCGAACGGGGGAAAGGAGAGAAGGAGGAACGGAGGGACGAGAGGAACGAGGGAGCATAGACGCGAAGGCGAGAGGGAAGGATAGGGGCGCAGCCGGGGAGCGGAGGAAAAAGGCGGGAAGAAGGAGGGGAGAGGAATGAAGAAGGGAAGAAGGGCAAGCGAGAAGCAGAGGCCAAGGCGAAAGACGAGACAGAAACGGAGAAGGCAACGGCGAAGCAGCCGGAAAGGGAAGGCCAAGGCGAAGAACACAACAGCAAAGAAAGACCGGAGGAAAAGGAGGAACAAGAAGGACAGGCAAAAAAGAAAGGAGAGGCCGGGGCCGCGGGGAGAGCAAGCAGAAGGCAGACAGGGGGCAGGAGACGGAGAGAAGGAGAGGCAAAGCGACGGGAGAGACCGAGACACGGGCGCGCGCGGGCCGCCGCCGCCGGGGGGGGGAGAGAGACCCGGGGCGAGGCAGCGCAACGGAGCGGGACAGAAACGAGCGAAAGGAAGCCCGGCACACCGGAGGCAGGAGGCGGCGAGACACGCGGACACAGGCAAGCAGGAGTGGGGCCAGGCCAGAAGGGCAAGAAGGGACGCACGGGAGGAAGGGAGGGGGGAGAGAGAAGGGAAGAAACGAGAAGGAGGCGGAGACGGGCAGAGAAAAGGAGGGACGAAGGAGGAAGACAGGGCAGAGAGAGAGCGGACAGAGGAAAAAGAAGAAGAAAGCGCACACAAGACGGAGGCAAGACAGGGGACGAAGAGAACCAAAGGAAGGCGAACAAAAGAAGACGGAAAAAGAAGACGAGAAGGAAGAGGAGCCAAGAGGACAGATAGGACACGAAGGCCGAAAGAGAGAACGGAAAACAAAGGACGAAAGGGGAAAGAAGGGAGGAAGCAGAGGGCAGAAGAAGGAAAGACGGGGAGGCAGGGCGAAAAGAGAGAAGACGAGGAGAGGGAGAGAAGAGCCGGAAAGAGCGAAAGAGAAAAGGAGAAACGGCGCGGGCGCGGGAAAGCGAGAGGACGGAAAAAGAACGGAGACGCAAAGGAGAGGCAGGGGAAACCCAAGAGGAGAGGAGCCAGGAAGCGCGGGGCGAAACGACACGCCGCGCACGGAGGCAGAGGGCGGAAACGGGCGGGGCGGGGGGGACGGAGGGAGACGGCACGAAGGGGCGGCAGGCGAGGCGCACACACGGGACGCAAGCCCGGAGCAGGGAGGGGCGGGCGAAACGCGGGCGGCGAGAGGACGCCACAGGCCGGCGGGGCCAAGGACGGAGCGACCAGAGGAGACGGGCCAAGGCGGAAGGGGACGCACAGAGGCGCGAACCGCGGAGCGGGAGAACAAGAAGACCGGAGGAGGAGGGACCAGACGCACGAGCAGGCGCCGGGACGCAGGGGCCGCCAGGGAGGGCGCACAGCCCCGGGGGACCAGAACGGCAGGAAGGAAGGACCGGGGCGGAGGCCGACGCGGAGGCAGAGGAGCGGAGGCGCGCCACCGAGCGCACGAAGGGGGGGGCGGGGAGCCGACGCCGGCACGAGCCGCCGGGAAGGACGCGACCAGGGCGGGACGCCCGAGGAGGGCGGAGACGGCGAGGCGGAAGCACCCCAGAGATGGGGGCGGACGGGCGGAAAGCAGAGGAGAACCGGAGCGGAAAGCGAGGAGAACACGCAGGGACGAGCCAGCGGCGAAGCGCCGCAGGGGACCGGCGCCGGACGACAGCCGGCCCCGGCGGCCGCAACGGGCGCGAGCCAGCCCCCGCGCCAAAAGGAGGACGCGACCGGCGCCGCGCGACGCGGCGCGCGAGCGGCGCCGGGGCAAGCCGGCGCACGCGGGGGAACCCGGACGCCCGGGCCGAGCCGACGGGCCCCGCCCAGGCCGGGCGGCGAGCGCAGCGAGGACCCGGGCGGGCCAGCGCGACGGCGCCGGCCAGAGCGGGGCGCGCGCGACGCGGCCCCAACGGAGACGGCGGCGCGGGCCGGAGCAAAGAAGGAGCGTACGACCAGCGCGGACGCCCGGCGGGCCGGAGAACCGGCACGAAGGACACCCCGGCGGGCGGGGGGCCGCCGCGACGGGCGCCAACGGGGGGGCGGGCAGCAGGCGACGAGGGACCGCGGGTGCCGGAGAGCGGCCGGGCGCACACAGGGCGGCCAGGGGCCGGGGAGCCGGGCGCCCACGCGGAGCGCCGGCGGAGCAGGACGCGAAAGAAGGAGACGCCGGCAAAGGGAGGGAGGCCGGCCCGAGGGCAAGCGCGGGACCGGGGGGGGGAGCGCCCCGCACCAGCCGGGAGGGGGGGGCGAGCGCGGCGCGCGCGCGGGCCGCCGCCGCCGGGGGGGGGGGAGAGAGAGAAGCGCGCGCACACCACAGCAAGGCGGGGCGGGGAGCGCCCCCACCCCGGAACCGCGAGGCCCGCGGGCCGGCCGACACGCCCGGGCCGGCGAGACGGAGGAGCGGCCAGGCGAACGCCGGCGCGACGCGGGGAGAACCGGAGCCACAGGCCCCAGGACCGCACCGGGGAGCACAGGCCGCGCGCCGGAAACCAGCGGCCCGCGGCGCCGGAAGGCACCGACCCCCAACGGGGCGACCGGCGCGGAGGCAACCCCCGCCACGAACGGGGGCCGCGGCACGGGACGCAGGCCCGCAGGGCGGCACGCGAGGGAGGAGCGCACGGCGGGAAGCCGGCCAGCGACGCCGGCGACGGGGGCCGAGGCGAGAGCGCACCGCGAAGGCCGGCGCAGGAGCGCGGGCCAGCACAGGGACAGAGCGGCGAGCGACGAAAAGGCCGGGCGGGGCCACGGCGGCGCGGCCCGGGCGGCCAGGGGCCCCACAGCGGGAGCCGGCAGGCCCACGGAGACAGCGCGAGAGCAGAGGACGCGAGGCGCAAGGGCGAGGCAGCCGGGGGAGCGGGGGCGGAGCGCAGCCCAGGGCGGCCGCCGGGGACAGGCGGGAGGCCGGCGAACGGACCCCGGAGGAGCGGAGACGACGGCGCGGCCCGGCGGGAGCAAGAGCGGACCGCGCCGGGCGACGAGGAGGACCGAAACGGCCGCCAAAAAGCGCGGGGGCTGACGCAGCGAACGGAAGACGAACAGACGAGGGCGGCCCGCAACGGTCGAGTAACGCCCGGCGGAGCGGCCGGAGGCGGCGAAAAGACACCCCCAAGGCGGGCGAGAAGGGGCGAGACGAAGAGCAGAGGAAAGACGAGGCGGCCGCCGAACAAGGCCGGACGGACGGCAGGAGGGACACACGGGGCGGGAGAACGCCAGGCGGAAACTGAGGCACGGAGCAGGAGAGGGCGGAGGGGCAACGAAGCAGCCGGAAGGAGTGGCGCCAGCGCCGCGGGCGCGACGAGGGAGGCAAACGACGAAGGGGACCGGAGCAGCGGGAGAGAACGGCCGGGACCAGCCGGCAAGGGGCGGAAAGCGCGAACGCACGAGGGCGAACGACACAGAACAGGCGACGGGAGGGAGGCCCGTGGGGCGCAGCGCCGGACGCCACGGAGGGAAGGCGCCAGCCGGCAACAAACAGCCCCAGACAAGGGCAGACCAGCGGACGACGGGCGCGGCGTGAGGGCGAACCCGAGAGACAGGGCGACGAGACGCGGGGGGCCACGGCAAGAGACGTGGCGAGAAGGGAGGGAAGGCAGAGAGCGGACAGCGAAAAGAGAAAGGGGCGAAGGGAGCGGGAGAGAGGGCAAGGAGAGGCGAGCACGAGAAAAGCGGAGGAGCGCGGGGCGCCACGGAAAGAAACAGGAGGGCAGGAGGAGGAAAAGAGGAGGAAAGAAAAGGAGGGCCAAAGGGCGGAACGGGGGGGAAAGGGAGAGAAGGAGGAACGGAGGGACGAGAGGGAACGAGGGGAGCAGAGGACGGCGAAGGCGGAGAGGGAAGGAGGAGGGGGGCGCAGGCCGGGGGGAGCGGAGGAAAAAGGGCGGGAAGAAGGAGGGGGGAGAGGGAAGGAAGGAAGGGGAAGAAGGGCAAGCGAGAAGCAGAGGCCAAGGGCGGAAAGACGGAGGACAGAAACGGGGAGAAGGCAACGGCGAAGCAGCCGGAGAAGGGGAAGGCCAAGGCGAGAGAACACAACAGCAAAGGAAAGACCGGGAGGAAAAGGAGGGAACAAGGAAGGGACAGGGCAAAAAAGAAAGGAGAGGCCGGGGGCCGCGGGGAGAGCAAGCAGAAGGCAGACAGGGGGGCAGGGAGGACGGGAGAGAAGGGAGAGGGCAAAGCGACGGGGAGAGGACCGAGACACGGGGCGCGCGCGGGCCGCCGCCGCCGGGGGGGGGGGAGAGAGACCCGGGGCGAGGGCAGCGCAACGGAGCGGGGACAGAGAACGGAGCGAAAGGAAGCCCGGCACACCGGGAGGCAGGAGGCGGGCGAGACACGCGGACACAGGCAGAGCAGGGAGGGGGCCAGGGCCAGGAAGGGGGCAAGAAGGGACGCACGGGAGGGAAGGGAGGGGGGGAGAGAGAAGGGGAAGGAAACGGAGAAGGAGGCGGAGACGGGGCAGGAGAAAAGGGGAGGGACGAAGGAGGGAAGACAGGGGCAGAGGAGGAGAGCGGGACAGGAGGAAAAAGGAAGGAAGGAAAGCGCACACAAGACGGAGGCAAGACAGGGGGACGAAGAGAACCAAAGGAAGGCGAACAAAAGAAGACGGAAAAGAGAAGACGGAGAAGGAAGAGGAGCCAAGAGGGACAGAGAGGACACGAAGGGCCGAAAGGAGAGAACGGGAAAACAAAGGGACGAAAGGGGGAAAGAAGGGGAGGGAAGCAGAGGGGCAGAAGAAGGAAAGACGGGGAGGGCAGGGGCGAAAAGAGAGAAGACGAGGGAGAGGGAGAGAAGAGCCGGGAAAGAGCGAAAGAGAAAAGGAGAAACGGGCGCGGGGCGCGGGAAAGCGAGAGGACGGAAAAAGAACGGAGACGCAAAGGAGAGGGCAGGGGAAACCCAAGAGGAGAGGAGCCAGGGAAGCGCGGGGGCGAAACGACACGCCGCGCACGGAGGCAGAGGGGCGGAAACGGGGCGGGGGCGGGGGGGACGGAGGGAGACGGCACGAAGGGGCGGCAGGCGAGGCGCACACACGGGACGCAAGCCCGGAGCAGGGAGGGGGCGGGCGAAACGCGGGCGGGCGAGAGGGACGCCACAGGGCCGGCGGGGCCAAGGACGGGAGCGACCAGAGGAGACGGGCCAAGGCGGAAGGGGGACGCACAGAGGCGCGAACCGCGGAGCGGGAGAACAAGAAGGACCGGAGGAGGAGGGGACCAGACGCACGAGCAGGCGCCGGGACGCAGGGGCCGCCAGGGAGGGCGCACAGCCCCGGGGGACCAGAACGGCAGGAAGGAAGGACCGGGGCGGAGGCCGACGCGGAGGGCAGAGGAGCGGAGGCGCGCCACCGGAGCGCACGAAGGGGGGGGGCGGGGAGCCGACGCCGGCACGAGCCGCCGGGAAGGGACGCGACCAGGGGCGGGACGCCCGAGGAGGGCGGAGGACGGGCGAGGCGGAAGCACCCCAGAGAGTGGGCGGACGGGGCGGAAAGCAGAGGAGAACCGGAGCGGGAAAGCGAGGAGAACACGCAGGGACGAGCCAGGCGGCGAAGCGCCGCAGGGGACCGGGCGCCGGACGACAGCCGGGCCCCGGCGGCCGCAACGGGCGGCGAGCCAGCCCCCGCGCCAAAAGGAGACGCGACCGGGCGCCGCGCGGACGCGGCGCGCGAGCGGCGCCGGGGCAAGGCCGGCGCACGCGGGGGGAACCCGGACGCCCGGGCCGAGCCGACGGGCCCCGCCCAGGCCGGGCGGCGAGCGCAGCGAGGACCCGGGCGGCCAGCGCGACGGCGCCGGCCAGGAGCGGGCGCGCGCGACGCGGCCCCAACGGAGACGGCGGCGCGGCCGGATCAAAGAAGGGAGCGACGACCAGCGCGGGACGCCCGGCGGGCCGGAGGAACCGGGCACGAAGGACACCCCGGGCGGGCGGGGGGGCCGCCGCGACGGGCGCCAACGGGGGGCGGGGCAGGCAGGCGACGAGGGACCGCGGGGGCCGGAGAGCGGCCGGGCGTCACACAGGGGCGGGCCAGGGGCCGGGGAGCCGGGCGCCCACGCGGAGCGCCGGCGGGAGCAGGGACGCGAAAGAAGGAGACGCCGGCAAAGGGAGGGGAGGCCGGCCCGAGGGCAAGCGCGGGACCGGGGGGGGAGCGCCCCGCACCAGCCGGAGGGGGGGGCGAGCGCGGCGCGCGCGCGGGGCCGCCGCCGCCGGGGGGGGGGAGAGAGAGAAGCGCGCGCACACCACAGCAAGGCGGGGCGGGGAGCGCCCCCACCCCGGGAACCGCGAGGGCCCGCGGGCCGGCCGACACGCCCGGGCCGGCGGAGACGGAGGGAGCGGCCAGGCGAACGCCGGCGCGACGCGGGGAGAACCGGAGCCACAGGCCCCAGGGACCGCACCGGGGGAGCACAGGCCGCGCGCCGGAAACCAGCGGGCCCGCGGCGCCGGAAGGCACCGACCCCCAACGGGGCGACCGGCGCGGAGGCAACCCCCGCCACGAACGGGGGCCGGCGGGCACGGGACGCAGGCCCGCAGGGCGGCACGCGAGGGAGAGCGCACGGCGGGAAGCCGGCCAGCGACGCCGGCGACGGGGGGCCGAGGCGAGAGCGCACCGCGAAGGGCCGGCGCAGGAGCGCGGCCAGCACAGGGACAGAGCGGCGAGCGACGAAAAGGCCGGGCGGGGCCACGGCGGCGCGGCCCGGGCGGCCAGGGGCCCCACAGCGGGAGCCGGCAGGGCCCACGGAGACAGCGCGAGAGCAGAGGACGCGAGGCGCAAGGGCGAGGCAGCCGGGGGAGCGGGGGCGGGAGCGCAGCCCAGGGCGGCCGCCGGGGACAGGCGGGAGGCCGGCGAACGGGACCCCGGAGGAGCGGAGACGACGGGCGCGGCCCGGCGGGGAGCAAGAGCGGGACCGCGCCGGGCGACGAGGATGGACCGAAACGGCCGCCAAAAAGCGCGGGGGGCGGACGCAGCGAACGGAAGACGAACAGACGAGGGCGGCCCGCAACGGGCGAGGAACGGCCCGGCGGAGCGGGCCGGAGGCGGCGAAAAGACACCCCCAAGGCGGGCGAGAAGGGGCGAGACGAAGAGCAGAGGAAAGACGAGGCGGCCGCCGAACAAGGCCTGACGGACGGCAGGGAGGGGACACACGGGGCGGGGAGAACGCCAGGCGGAAACGGAGGCACGGAGCAGGAGAGGGCGGAGGGCAACGAAGCAGCCGGGAAGGAGGGGCGCCAGCGCCGCGGGGCGCGACGAGGGAGGCAAACGGACGAAGGGACCGGAGCAGCGGGGAGAGAACGGCCGGGACCAGCCGGCAAGGGGCGGAAAGCGCGAACGCACGAGGGCGAACGACACAGAACAGGCGACGGGAGGGAGGCCCGGGGGGCGCAGCGCCGGACGCCACGGAGGGAAGGCGCCAGCCGGCAACAAACAGCCCCAGACAAGGGGCAGACCAGCGGACGACGGGCGCGGCGGGGAGGGCGAACCCGAGAGACAGGGCGACGAGACGCGGGGGCCACGGCAAGAGACGGGCGGAGAAGGAGGGGAAGGCAGAGAGCGGGACAGCGAAAAGAGAAAGGGGCGAAGGGGAGCGGGAGAGAGGGCAAGGAGAGGCGAGCACGAGAAAAGCGGAGGAGCGCGGGGCGCCACGGAAAGAAACAGGAGGGCAGGAGGAGGAAAAGAGGAGGAAAGAAAAGGAGGGCCAAAGGGCGGAACGGGGGGGAAAGGGAGAGAAGGGAGGAACGGAGGGGACGAGAGGGAACGAGGGGAGCAGAGGACGGCGAAGGCGGAGAGGGGAAGGAGGAGGGGGGCGCAGGCCGGGGGGGAGCGGAGGAAAAAGGGCGGGAAGAAGGAGGGGGGAGAGGGAAGGAAGGAAGGGGGAAGAAGGGCAAGCGAGAAGCAGAGGCCAAGGGCGGAAAGACGGAGGACAGAAACGGGGAGAAGGCAACGGCGAAGCAGCCGGAGAAGGGGAAGGCCAAGGCGAGAGAACACAACAGCAAAGGAAAGACCGGGAGGAAAAGGAGGGAACAAGGAAGGGACAGGGCAAAAAAGAAAGGAGAGGCCGGGGCCGCGGGGAGAGCAAGCAGAAGGCAGACAGGGGGGCAGGGAGGACGGGAGAGAAGGGAGAGGGCAAAGCGACGGGGAGAGGACCGAGACACGGGGCGCGCGCGGGGCCGCCGCCGCCGGGGGGGGGGGAGAGAGACCCGGGGCGAGGGCAGCGCAACGGAGCGGGGACAGAGAACGGAGCGAAAGGAAGCCCGGCACACCGGGAGGCAGGAGGCGGGCGAGACACGCGGACACAGGCAGAGCAGGGAGGGGGGCCAGGGCCAGGAAGGGGCAAGAAGGGGACGCACGGGAGGGAAGGGGAGGGGGGGAGAGAGAAGGGGAAGGAAACGGAGAAGGAGGCGGAGACGGGGCAGGAGAAAAGGGGAGGGACGAAGGAGGGAAGACAGGGGCAGAGGAGGAGAGCGGGACAGGAGGAAAAAGGAAGGAAGGAAAGCGCACACAAGACGGAGGCAAGACAGGGGGACGAAGAGAACCAAAGGAAGGCGAACAAAAGAAGACGGAAAAGAGAAGACGGAGAAGGAAGAGGAGCCAAGAGGGACAGAGAGGACACGAAGGGCCGAAAGGAGAGAACGGGAAAACAAAGGGACGAAAGGGGGAAAGAAGGGAGGGAAGCAGAGGGGCAGAAGAAGGAAAGACGGGGAGGGCAGGGGCGAAAAGAGAGAAGACGAGGGAGAGGGAGAGAAGAGCCGGGAAAGAGCGAAAGAGAAAAGGAGAAACGGGCGCGGGGCGCGGGAAAGCGAGAGGACGGAAAAAGAACGGAGACGCAAAGGAGAGGGCAGGGGAAACCCAAGAGGAGAGGAGCCAGGGAAGCGCGGGGGCGAAACGACACGCCGCGCACGGAGGCAGAGGGGCGGAAACGGGGCGGGGGCGGGGGGGGACGGAGGGAGACGGCACGAAGGGGCGGCAGGCGAGGCGCACACACGGGACGCAAGCCCGGAGCAGGGGAGGGGGCGGGCGAAACGCGGGCGGGCGAGAGGGACGCCACAGGGCCGGCGGGGCCAAGGACGGGAGCGACCAGAGGAGACGGGCCAAGGCGGAAGGGGGACGCACAGAGGCGCGAACCGCGGAGCGGGAGAACAAGAAGGACCGGAGGAGGAGGGGACCAGACGCACGAGCAGGCGCCGGGACGCAGGGGCCGCCAGGGAGGGCGCACAGCCCCGGGGGGACCAGAACGGCAGGAAGGAAGGACCGGGGGCGGAGGCCGACGCGGAGGGCAGAGGAGCGGAGGCGCGCCACCGGAGCGCACGAAGGGGGGGGGCGGGGAGCCGACGCCGGCACGAGCCGCCGGGAAGGGACGCGACCAGGGGCGGGACGCCCGAGGAGGGCGGAGGACGGGCGAGGCGGAAGCACCCCAGAGAGGGGCGGACGGGCGGGAAAGCAGAGGAGAACCGGAGCGGGAAAGCGAGGGAGAACACGCAGGGACGAGCCAGGCGGCGAAGCGCCGCAGGGGACCGGCGCCGGACGACAGCCGGCCCCGGCGGCCGCAACGGGCGGCGAGCCAGCCCCCGCGCCAAAAGGAGGACGCGACCGGCGCCGCGCGGACGCGGCGCGCGAGCGGGCGCCGGGGCAAGGCCGGCGCACGCGGGGGAACCCGGACGCCCGGGCCGAGCCGACGGGCCCCGCCCAGGCCGGGCGGCGAGCGCAGCGAGGACCCGGGCGGGCCAGCGCGACGGCGCCGGCCAGGAGCGGGGCGCGCGCGACGCGGC